ATTATACTTGTAATTTTGAACTGATCCAAAAACATGAGTTCAGTCACATGTTTTCCATCTCATTTGTGATACAAGCTAATTTAGTTGTATCATTTGTTTAAAATTGGGAACTGGGAAGTACATAACTTTTACGTTTGTTGCAACATGTCTTAGCCCATTTGAAAGTAGCAATAATTACACGGTTATCTATGAAGACAATTTCTCATGGACCTTTCACGTCTTTTGCAGATTGCATCTGCTAAAAGCCAAGTGAGTCAACTTTGTTCTTCCTTTCACAAAATCGCCCCTAGGCAATGTGAGTTAGTCACGTGTTCTGCTAAATTTCCAGTGATGGAAGGCTTGGAAGGCTTTAACGATCCCGGTAAGCGCTTAGCTTTCTTAAATTACACCAAGGACAAATTATGGGCAGCCATCCCTGGTTCGGTTAAACAGTTTCCTTGGGAGAAAGCCGAGAGTGTTGCACTTCGAAAGCTACTTGTCATTGGAAAGGAGACGTTGAAGTGGTCTTTGTTTGCATTCTTTGGGTTTAGTTGCGTTTTCGATATCCCATACTCTATCTCAAGAAACAAAGAGTTGGTAATTCCTTTCGGTCTTTTTGTCGGAACTTTGCTGGCCAAGTACCTCGATCAAATATCTCAAGAACTCTTGCATGACCACAAGGTAAAGTTCATTTATGAATATTCCTTCGCTGTTGGAGTGTATCTGATTATGAATAGAAATAAACAATGGGAAGAGAAAAAGTTCGTAAATAACTTGTTGCTTCTGGTCCGCACAAGAGTAATTTTTAGTATTTTCAATTGTCAGTTTCGAGTCCTGATTCGGCATATTCTTCTTTGAACCATAAAGTAGGGGGTTGGACTTCCGAGGCTCCTGATGTGCTGGAAGCTGATAAAAAATGTATATTAGATTTTTTTAATTTATAATCCAAGGTTACACGTAGCTCGTTATTTTGGTTGTTGCAGACCATTGACAGTGAGATTCGATGTAGAATCGCAATTACTTATTGGTCCCGAATGCCAAGTTCTGCTACTAATTTGTCTCTAACCGAAACAAATAAACACATTCACTACTTATTCGTCAAGTAAAAGTCATCCAGCTTATTCAGTTTTTAGTTTCTACTTACAAACAATTAATCTTGTTTTCGCAGGATGAACATGTTACTCGCCGTTTTTTGGGCATATCTGTCTTCTTTGTTATAGTGAAGTTTGTGTCCACATTCTTCCCCGGAGGAAATAGTGATTTCCTCCTGCATGTTGGTAACGGTGGGCTGATGCAAGTTGTGTGGAACTGGAAAAACTTGCCTGAACAAGATGGAGAAAGTTCCACTTCGGAGGATATTCCGGCCAACTAAAGTTGCAGTTTTGCTAATACGGGTTAGTGTGTGGATTATGCCGTTTTTCTTTTCCTCAGATATATGTGACTGAAATTTTGATATAATCCCGAAAGGAAGAAACGAGGAGTACTTTATTTTGTACATTTTGTCTTAACATTATGGAATTTGATTTTAGGTATGTAGTTGGGCATCTCTCACTATTTAGCTATCTTTAAATCTGAGGGGGTTGCCTTTCGCTTGCTTAGACATGGCCAAAACAAGAGCTGGGCCCGGCCTGGCCCAGCGGGCTAAGAAAGGCTGACCCGGAACCGGCACAGACCTAGGTCGTGCGGGGTCCATCGCCCGACGGGCCGGGCTGGGCCTGGCCCGGGTCTGGGCCCGTTCAATTAAAAAAATTAAATTAAAGTATGTAATTTTTCCGGGCCAGGGTCGAAAAAACAAGGCCCTCGACCGGCCCAATATAAATCCGAGCTGGGCCCGGTCCCGGATGAAAGGAGACGAACTTTGACAAACAACTAGTTGTTACCCGTGCATTTGCACGGAAAACTGTATGATAAAAAATAAAATAATAAAAAATATAAACAATAGTAAAAATTATAACATAATCATTGAAAAAAAAAGTTTTAAGAAAGAAAATTCAAATATAATTAAACACTTCTTTATATACAACGTCCATAATTTTTCGAAGCCCAATCTGATTTCTTGATGTATCCCAATAAAAAAATTAGTAAGAGAATATTTTAAATACGCCACAACCCATTATTTTTCTTATAACTTAAGCTCAAACATTCACATCCCATTGTTTATTAACAAAGCCCAGACAAAATCGAACAATAAATTCTTTTTCGGGCCACAAATGGGTCAAATAAAGTTGATTTCGTTTGAATCCAAGTAGTATCAAGGCTGATGTTTTTTTTTTATTGGGCCAAATTAAACATAATCCAAATGCATAGACCCATATAGCACGGTCAAAGCTTCATCCACCACACAAATGTAGAACATTCAACAAAGTGGTAGAGACAAATATTTAATGCCTAAAACCCTACCACCTGCAACATTTTCATCGTTTTTTCTTCATTTTTAATCTTTTTTTATTTATCGGAGACAAATACTTGGATCGATTCTGATTTAGTTTAGCCGTTGTAGACATGCTTTTAATTTATACATGCCTTACATCATGAAAAACAAATTTCAGCCCATTAGTTACTTCTTTGTTTGTCGAAAATTTCTTTGACTAAAATCGAATCAATCGCAATATTGTAGTTTTTTTCTTGTTCTTAGCCAAGAAAATCATATTATCAAATTGCACTGCCATTTGGAACTCAAAAGAAATATGTTGTGTCGAAATAGTTTTTTCGGTGACTGTGATTATGAGTGTGGAATGCAAAGTGAAAATGTGTCTGATTTTTATTTTATTTATAAGCACCTACATAAGTCTATTAACTAATTAGTGTAAATAGCAACAAATCAAGAGCATGATTAGTTGAAAATATTTTGATAACTGGAAAAAATATGAACTATATAATAGTGGCGCATTTGATATGATTTTTGAAACTGGAATTTATGTTCCGCCAACTAAAGATTTTATTTTTAGAGTCAAAATTTATGTTTTTGTTTGTATTTATTAATTAGACATGTGCTTCTATCATATAAAAATTATTATGTTTTCTTAAGTTATTTTTATCATTCCAAATCAATTGATATTTAAATTGTATTTTAACCATGCAACGTTTATATTAGTAACATGAATAAAATAATTTATATATTTGTAGCATATATTAAGAAATTTAACATAAATAAAAAAAATTATTGGTGTTTCTGATTTTTAGAAAAAAAATATATGTGCCAATCATGCACAGATGTACATATAATTTTATAAGTAATATTTGAGAATTTAATATTAAAATTTTAGATAATGAACATATTACATTTTCAAAAATTTGATCATTAGAAAAATAAATAACAATTTTATTATTATGAAAAATTGTATATTACCATTTGATACTAATTGTTTAATTATTATTATTATTATTATTATTATTATTAAAACAATTGTTTATAAGATTCTAAAGTTGTCTGACTATGCTATTAAAATAATTTACTAATTATTTTTAAAGAAATTTTTTCATGAGATACAAAAGA